GCCTGGCAATGTCAAGATGAAGCGAACCCACAGCCACCATGAACAGCCAACCTACCCTGTGCAGCCTGCTGGGAATCCAGTATGCCTCAGACCTTGCATATTCCTCAGGCACCACCCTATATTGATGCTCCACCTGCCTACTCAGAGCTCTATCATCTGAGCACTGTGCACCCAGAGTCCCCACCATGTCAGCTGTATTTCCTGGAGCCTCTCTGTATCTTCCCATGGCCCAGTCTGTGGCTGTTGGGCCTTTAGGTTCCACAATCCCCATGGCTTATTATCCAGTGAGTCCCATCTATCCAGCTGGCTCTATAGTGCTGGTGGAAGGAGGGTATGATGCAGATGACAGATTTGGAGCTGGGCTACCACTGGCAACACTCCTCTTTCACCTCCTGGATGCCCTCCCAATGCTGCCCAGCTTGCAGTCATGCAGGGAGCCAACAGCCTTATAACTCAGCGGAAGGGGAACTTCTTCATGGGTGGTTCAGATGGTGGCTACACCATCTGCTGAGGAACCAAGGCCACCTTTGTGTTGGGAATGACATCATATACCTTCAGCACTTCTCGCAATGTAACCCCTTTAGTCATATTAACCTGAAGTTGCAGTTTAGACACATGTTTTTGGGGTGTCTTTCTGGTGTCCAAACTTTCAGGCATTTTTCAAATTTAATAAAGAACCATGTAATGGTAGCAGTACCTCCCTAAAGCATTTTGAGGTAGGGGAGGTATCCATTCATAAAATAAATATGGGTGAAGCCACCCTAAGGATCTTCCTTTAATTTTTCTGGAGTAATACTGTACTATACTGGTCTTTGCTTTTAGTAATAAAACATCAAAATAGGTTTGGAGGGAACTTTATCTTCCTAAGAATTAAAGTTGTCAAATTATTCTGATTGGCCTCTAATCTCCTTTAAGTCTTTGATTTACATTACTTGATATAAATGGAACCCATTAGTTGTCCCCATCTTCCTTTCCATCCCTTGCCCCACCCATCCCATCTGCAACCTTATTCTTCCAGTTCTTCCTGCCAGTCTCCATTGAATCAACGGTGGAGGACAGAAAGCCAGTCAGACTAATTTCCTCCTTTCCTCAAACTTCTCCCCACTTGTCGTCTTTTAACTAGTCCTTCACAAGGATGCTCTAAAACTCCTTCTGTGCCTCAAGCACAGATCTGCTTTCACATCTCCTCAGGCAAAAGTAGACGGTGCCTTTGGGCCCTCCTCATAGGTTGTCCCTGCCTGCACGAACCTATCCCAAATTTGCTTTGGTGCCAGAAAAACTAAGCTATGTTTGCACAAAGATATCATGCAAACTGTACTGTGAACAAATGACTTGAGTCCAGTGAAATTTCATTAGGGTTAAGAATATTTCAGGGATCCTTAATGTTTTGTTTTCTGAAGTTGGATCTTATAATTTCAGTTCATCTAAATTGTGTGTTCTGTACATGTGATATATTTGACTGTGCCACTGACTGTTATGGAAGTTCAGCGTTGTATGATTCTCTCTCCACTGTGGTGCACTTAACTTGTAGAATTTTTATACTAAAAATGTAGAATGAAGACTATTTTGAGGATTTGAAAACAAAACAAAACAAAACACAAAACACCACTGGCCTAGAAACTGCTAGATTTAAATTTAAAAAAATGTTTTTTCAAGACAGGGTCTCTGTCACCTAGGATGAAGTGCAGTGGTGCAATGAGAGCTCCCTGCAATCCTTCAGCCTTGACCTTTAGGCTCAAGTGATCCCCTCACCTCAGCCTCCCAAGCAGCTAGGACTACAGGCATGTGCCACCATGCAAGGCTAATTTTTAAATGTCTTGCAGAGGTGGGGGCCCACTATTTTGCCCAGGATGGACTTGAGCTCCTAGGCTCAAGTAATCCTCCTCCTCAGCTTTCCAAAGTGCTGGGATTATAGGCATAAGCCACCATGCTTGGCCTAGATTTAAATTAAAGAAGGCAGGCTGCCGTCCACATTTTAAATCATATTAAAATGATAACTGATAATACTATATCATTGTCTAATGTTATCAAGAAAAATAACACACAACTCTGATAAATACCGGATAACTCTACAGAACAATGCTCTGGATGGACTCAAGTTTAAAACAAATAATATGTTGAGTATGCACAATATACAAATTCAGCAAAAAGAATATTGAGAATGGATTTTAAGGGTGATAAAAATGTTTAAGATTGCTCACTTATTGGGGAGGAACAGTTTCAGCTGATGAGAGGAACAATGCGTAGGGTAAGCCATGAGTATGGCTGATGATGAAAACAAAAAAAAAGGAAACAGAAAAGCATGCTTCTTCTTTTCTTTTTTTTTTTTTGAGATGGAGTCTCGTTCTGTCACCAGGCTGGAGTGCAGTGGCGCAATCTTGGCTCACTGTAACTTCCACGTCCCGGGTTCACGCGATTCTCCTGCCTCAGCTTCCCAAGTAGCTGGGACTACAGGCACACGCAAACACACCCAGCTAATTTTTGTTTTTATTTTTAGTAGAGATGGGGTTTCACCATGTTGGCCAGGATGGTTTGGATCTCTTGACCTTGTGATCCGCCCGCCTCGGCCTCCCAAAGTGCTGGGACGACAGGCATGAATCACCACGCCCAGCCCATGTTCAATTTCTTATATCCCAGTCAAAAATTGTATCCTAAAGATAGGTTCAAGAACCTGTTTATAGAAGACAGGTTTAAATATATATATTTGAAAAGACTAGTTCTTACACATATCCCCAACACAGACACCCATGATATTACATATTATATATTATTTAATATTATAATATCTCTATTTAATGTAGTCCTAGGACTTATATCTTTTCACTGGAAAGTGGTAAAGAATAATGCTACTCATTTTATAAATATAAATATACAAAAGGAGCTAACTTCCTTAAGCTCAATTACAAGATTTCCTCAGTGATCTCTTTAGTAGTAACAATATAAAATATACATAAATGCAAAGGTCATATCTCTATCATCATTAAATAAAAATCTGGAATCCAAGTTAACAGTTTTCTCTGCCCACTCCTTTTCACACAAAATATAAAATGTCTTAGATTAAAGAACAACAACAAAAAAGTCTTAGATTAAGATTCAACCTTCAAATTTAAATTCTAATTCTAAGAGCACACTTCTTTTCAGAAGCATAAATCTGATTTTCAATATGAGTACTTTGAAGGATAATTCTGATATGCCCTAAATAGAGAAAAAAAAGAAACCTCACTGGTGTTCCTTACTAATGACAGAACGAACACTTGGTATTTTTTCTTCTGCAAAAGGATGCACTGCACTGTGACCTAAAAAAAGTTAATAGATTTTAATTTTGTATTAACTTCTTAATAACAGACATGAGCTTCACAGGCTAAAAAGAAAGACTAAACCAACTAGCCAACCTTCATTTTTATACACTTTCCTGATTTTTATGCCCTGATCTATTTTTCCTTCTCTCTTTCAGTTTTATCTGAGTAATGACAAAATACTGATTGAAAACAGTTGTAAAAAAATTTTATAGGCCAGGCGCGGTGGCTCAAGCCTGTAATCCCAGCACTGTGGGAGGCCGAGGTAGGTGGATCACAAGGTCAAGAGATTGAGACCATCCTGGTCAACATGGTGAAACCCTGTCTCTCCTAAAAATACAAAAAATTAGCTGGGCATGGTGGCGGGTGCCTGTAATCCCAGCGACTCAGGAGGCTGGGGCAGGAGAATTGCCTGAACCCGGGAGGCGGAGGTTGCGGTGAGCCGAGATCGCGCCATTGCACTCCAGCCTGGGTAACAAGAGCGAAACTCCGTCTCAAAAAAAAAAAAAATTTTTTTTATAAAGCTTCTTTATTCTCTAAGTGTGCACAGCTATTATATGTTTTAATACTTGATCTCATTTTCCAAAAGTAAAATAATTATCTTGGTATAAATCTCTTCCTATCACCAGGATGCTGAGATTTTTATTTTCGTCATCACCAGTATCAAGAAACAAAAGCAGATTAAAAGTTCTGCAAAGATAACAGACTCTGTAAGTCAAATTGACATACTATATTCACTAACTGAAGTGTCCACCTGTTATTTCATTCTAATGATACTGTTCATTTCTCCCATTATATTATGACTATTTTCTACGGATAACATCTCAAAAGTACTTCTTTCCAATTATTTTATCTAGTAATTCAGTAGGCTATACTCTTTAAATGAGTAATTTATTATTCAGCTAATAGTTCTGTTTGCTTCTTTTAATATATAACATTTAAGTTCCATTCTCTAGACTGTTGCTAGTATTCTCAAAGATTTGTCTTTAAATTCTACATTTTTGGTTTTTACTTTTTGGAAAAAAGCAATATAAGGAATAAATCCACTACCTTGTATATTTAGTATTAGTCTAGGTAGAATACCTATTATATTGTGAACAAAACTTATTTGTACTATAAAGTAAAAACTGCTTGTTTATTTCTTCCATCTAAAAAGCAGCATAGTAAAACATTTAGGCTTTTTTTTTTCTAATTTTAGAAAACATAAGCATCCAAAATAATTTTTAAATCCAATATTAAGTAAACTTAAAAATAAAGAAGGCATTTTTAAATCAAAATCTGTGGATAAATAACAAAATAAAACTTGGTTTTGATTCAGAAAGTTTCCCCCCAAAAATCAATATTTTAAAAACTAAAAATCAATAATGTTAGTTACGCTGACTTGAAATCTCTTGAAAAACTGTAAGATAAAAAATAAGATAGCCATGGTGGCACCATGGGTAAAGCACTGGATTGAAGCCTCCCATTCTCCCCAAGAAAGAATAAATGAATACCAGCCAGTCTCACTTAAGTATAATTATTGCCACTGAACTTATTTTGAGACTTTTTTCAATTCCTGAAGTCTTAAGACACCTTTACATTTACAGATATTCTACTTTACAATTGCTGTATCCAGTTTATCTGAGTTATTTACCTTAAATGTAGCTATTTTTTCCTTAATAAAACAGAAGATTTTTACTTACTAGAAAGAAAATTCTTCTATAGCTTTTTACTAGCCCTGACTCACATCAAATCAAATCTATTCAAAAGTTTCCCAAAACAGAATCATTTATTTCTTACTTTTTTTTTTTTTTTTTTAAACTCACTCAAAAGACTATAAAGAAAAGGGCACTGGATACTGTGGTCAACAAGAGAGTGAAATTGCAAAGGAATAATTTCTCTATGATTCAATTAAGAAGACAATTGGATATAAGGACATCTATGATTTGTGGAACAAAAAGAATATTATTACTTGATTTTAAAAGTTTTTTTTTTTCCTGGTCACAGATCCCTTTAAAGAAAGCCATGGAAGCATTCCATCCTGAAAATGCATTTAACATACAAAATCTCTGCAAAATTTCAAAGGGATTCACAAGCTCCCTCAAATACATAGAATCTTGGATTAAAAACACTGGTAGTTGTAAAACCTCTCTGACCCAACCCAAAAGATAATCTTACAAAAAATATCTAAGTTTAACAATGTCTTTGAATTCCAAATTAAATAAATCAGGCTTTTACTTTAAGATCTTAGTAATCAAGCATAACTTAACATTTAACATTATATAATAAAATTAGCTATAATCCTAAAACACAAAATAGAATTAAAAAAAAAAATTATTAGAGTAAAACAGTATTTGCTTAGCGAAGGAGTCAAGAAATTCTGTACTTTGCAAATGTAAATTGTGCTGCAAATGCTACTTAAAAGACCCAACTGACAAAATCACAATTAGCACTTCTGCTTAATTAAATTATTAAGGAAATACATCTGTAAAATGTATCTCTAGTTCCTCTTTTTCTACTCAGTTTTTATTATTTAAGGACAATAATAGATTTCAGTAACTTCTCATCAGTAACATACTAAGTAGTAGTAGAATGAGCTAATGTACCAGTTTCAATATTCTTATTTTACTCTTACCATGCAAACCTGTAACTTTTACTGAGTTCTGAAAATCCAAGTGTGCAACAGATACCTTTAAAATATTATCCCCAGTCAGGAGTTCAATAAATAAATTGATATATTTTTATTATAGTGGTCAGTAAATAGGAAAATGATTACTTAAGAATGTATTTAAAGCCATCTCTCTCAACTGTCCCATTATCTGTACTCTTTTGTTAGAAAAATCTTAAATTTTATCATTTGGAATAATAACCAAATTGAACCTAATTTTCTTATTTTAGAATTTTGTTTTAAAAATGGATACAATGACCTTTAGGAATGGGCCACTAAATCAAATCAAATCAAATACATTTCCATCTTAGTATAGACCAAGAATTAGTTTATATACCACAGTAAATTGTGGTTATCCTAAATGATTTTCAGGGATAAAAGCCTTGTAACATTGCGGAGTTGAGAGATATGGTTAAAGTGACAAAGCAATAAATCAGGTTTCAGTAATCGTAACAGAAAATGGAATAACAATCACTTAGAATCTTGAGTATTATATTCAGTTTCTCCAGCTGAAATCTGGCTAAGCCGCTTGCTCGATCCCCACAATTTTCGAGAGAGTTGACCTGAACGCATCTGTGTAAAGTAATACAAAGAAATGAATAAATATTAAGAAAAAATAAATAAAATTGATATATAAGACACTGATTTTGAAGAGTGAAAAGAAATAAATTTTGTTAGCAGAATTATTAGCACTTTAAAGGTTATTAATAATCGAAAAAGACAGCCAGGCATGGAGGTTCATGCCTGTAAACCCAGCACTTTGGGAGGCCAAGGTGGGCAGATCACTTGAGGTCAGGAGTTCGACACCAGAGCCTGGTCAAAATGGCACTCTCCCATCTCTACTAAAAATACAAAATTTAGCCCAGCATAGTGGTGCCCACCTGTAATCCCAGCTACTTTGGAGGCTGAGGAATGAGAATTGCTTGAACCTGAAGGCAGAGGTCGCAGTGAGCCCAGATGGCACCATTGTACTCCAGCCTAGGCATCACATCTGTCTCTCTCTCTCTCATACACACACATACACACATAATAATAATGAAAGACTTTTACATTTATTTTGTCTTTGAGAAAGGTCTAATGCCAATGTGTACATTTAAACATTTAATAGGCCAGTTATGTCAAAATTACCAGGTTCTTTTATTTTATAAATTATTAAAAATATGTATTACTTCATCAAAATAAGCTTCTCAAAAATATTTTTAAAAAAATTTTTAATAAATTTTAATTTTTTATTTTTTGTAGAGATGAGGTCTCACTATATTGCCCAGGCTGGTCTTGAACTCCTGGGCTCAAGCAATCCTCCCACCTCAGCTTCCCAAAGTCCTGGGATTACAGGTGTGAGCCACTACACTTGGCTCAAAATTATTCTTTTTCTTTTCTTTTTTTTTTTTTTTTTTTGAGATGGACTTTTGCTCGTTACCCAGGCTGGAGTGCAATGGCGCGATCTCGGCTCACCGCAACCTCCGCCTCCTGGGTTCAAGCAATTCTCCTGCCTCAGCCTCCCGAGTAGCTGGGATTACAGGTGCGCGCCACCATGCCCAGCTAATTTTTGTATTTTTAGTAGAGACGGGGTTTCACCTTGTTGACCAGGATGGTCTCGATCTCTTGACCTTGTGATCCACCCACCTGGGCCTCCCAAAGTGCTGGGATTACAGGTGTGAGCCACCGTGCCCGGCCTCAAAATTATTCTTAATTTAGCTAACAAGGCATGTAGGTTTGAAGATTTTATTTTCTTGTATTTGCAGTACTGTTAATGACAATTGCAAGGATAAGAAAGTAAAGCCAGGCGAGGTGGCTCATGCCTGTAATCCCACCACTTTGGGAGGCCGAGGTGGGCTGATCATAAGGTCAGGAGCTCGAGACCAGCCTGGTCAACATGGTGAAACCCCATCTCTACTAAAAATACAAAAATTAGCTGGGCGTGGTGGCGTGCGCCTGTAGTCTTAACTACTCGGGAGGCTGAGGCAGGAGAATTGCTTGAAACCAGGAGGCGGAGGTTGCTGTGAGCCGAGATCGTGCCACTGCACTCCAGCCTGGTGCCTGGTGATGGAACGAGACTCTGTCTCAAAAAAAAAAAAAAAAAAAAAAATTAGCTGGACGTGGTGGCAGGTGCCTGTAGTCCCAGCTACTTGAGAGGCTGAGGCAGGAGAATCACTTGAACCAAGGAGGCTGAGGTTGTAGTGAGCCAAGATCGTGCCACTACATTCCAGCCTGGGCAACATAGTGAGACTCCGTCTTAAGGGGAAAAAAAAGGAAAGTTTTGATGAAAAGAATGTAATTTTAAAATACTTTGATATAGACTTTCAAAAACTAATTAACAAGAGAATGATAAAAAGTAATGTAGAAAACAAGGAGAGCATAAGCCCCTTGAAGCCAGGAATTGCATTTTGTTCACCATTAAATTTGCATTACCTATCATCCTTCCCAGTGTATAAAAATATTAATTAAATCAATGAATAAATAAATGTCCTTTAAGTGCTTAAACATCTAGGTGGGGAGAAAAAACCCTATGGCTTCTTGTAATTACTTTCTCAAGTGCAATCTACTTTTTAATGGTGATTCCTTTTTTTTTTTTTTTTTGAGACAGGGTTGCCACCCTTTTTTAATGGTCACTTTTCCTTTTTTTTTGAGACAGAGTCTCGCTCTGTTGTCAGGCTGGAATGCAGTGACGTGATCTTGGCTCACTGCAACCTCTGCCTCCCAGGCTCAAGCGATTCTCCTGTCTCAGCCTCCCAAGTAGCTGGGACTATAGGTACGTACCACCACGCCCAGCTAATTTTTGTATTTTTAGTAGAGACAGGGTTTCACCATATTGGCCAGGATGGTCTCGCTCTCTTGACCTCATGAACCTGCCTTGGCCTCCCAAAGTGCTGGGATTACAGCTGTGAGCCACTTCGCCTGGCCTAATGGTCACTTTTCTAGGGTATATTTATTGGAGTGATAAAAGCCTCATACAAAGATACTAGTGGCTCTGGCATGCTTGCTTCGCAGCTACATTTGCAGATGTATTTTCTGAAGCCCTACTACCTTGCCGTCTGATTTATAAATAGGATTTTCACCCTAATAGAATAATATATAAAACTAGTACCTGATTAAAAATATATATTAATCACAATTTTGATGTTTTAGATAAAAATAGATATTGAAATAGAAATATCTTTTTGCAAGTAAATATCGATCTAGTTCATATTCTACATTGTAATACAGAATAAATTATATTTTAATTATACAAGATTCTAAATATTTAATTTATTAAAGTAGATCTATAATTTAGCTGATACAGCCAAAGGTGTAAAAAGATACTTTCATTAACAATTCTCACATACATACATGCTATATACAATTCAGATTCTATGTGTTGTAGCCTATATAAATCTTTCAATGAGGGCAAATTACCAAACTTATTTGGTAAATATTACAAAACATTAAGCCTATAAAATGAAGCTGCTTAGGTGCTTTGGACAATCAATTTTTTTTTTTAATCTTTTTTAAATTTTTTTTTTTGAGACAGAGTCTCGTTCTGTTCCCCAGGCTGAAGTGCAGTGGTGCAATCTTGGCTTACTGCAACCTCCGCCTAGTTCAAGAGATTCTCATGCCTTAGCCTCCCAAGTAGCTGGGATTACAGGCACCTGCTACCACACCCGGCTCATTTTTATATTTTTAGTAGAGATGGGGTTTTGCCATGTTGGCCAGGCTGGTCTTGAACTCCTGACCTCAGGTGATCCACCCACAATGGCCTCCCAAAGTGCTGGAATTACAGGCATGAGCCACCACACCCAGCTGGCCAATCAATTTTTAAAAGCAAATGTATGCACGTAATGGTAATTGCATTAAAAAATTCAGTAACATCAGAAACTGACAAACTTACTTAAGGTGACAGAAGGGTAAGCAAATTTGAAAGGCACTTGACTGAAGCACAGAAAGTGAAATACACTCAAAGAGTAAAGTTGGAGCATTATCACATTAACAGAGAATAAGACAGTATTTACTTGCGAAATATGGTAATCAAGAAACTTGGCACTGAATGGAAACATCCTTAAAATGTTTTAAATATAAGTGAAACACTGAGATATAGTGTTGCTGACATTGAGAGACTGTTGGATCTGGAATTAATTTTTTTTTTTTTTGAGACAGAGTCTTGCTCTGTTACCCAGGCTAGAGTGCAGTGGTGCAATCTTGGCTCACTGTAACCTCCAATTCCTGGGTTCAAGTGATTCTCTTGCCTCAGCCTCCTGAGCAGCTGAGATTACAGGCATATGTCAACACACCCAGCTAATTTTTGCATTTTTAGTAGAGACGGGGTTTCACCACGTTGGCCAGGCTGATCTCAAACTACTGATCTCAGGTGATCTGCCTGCCTTGGCCTCCCAAAGGGCTAGGATTACAGGTGGAGCAACCATGCCCAGACACAGTAACATTAATTGAATGATACTTTTTTGTTGTTAAAATAATATGCTAAAAAGAAAAGCATAAGGACTGAAGAAATTTCAAATATTTACTAAACAGGTTTTTTATGATCTTTAACAGGTTATTATAGCCACTGACTGTGTGATAGTAATTTCTTCCCTTGAAATAACCCCGACAGATCCCATACTGTTAGATTTCCCAGAAAACACAAACAGTGACTTAAAAAAAACTTATAATGCTTAATTTAACTATGTTATAACATAAATGATTTGGAAGAATCAGTAACTTGGAGTGTAACTACTAAGTTTTCCTGAGTGAGAGTTGGATTTATGGTATCTAATATCTAGTAATTGATAAATCATTAGCAAGTAAATTTAACTAAAGGAAACTCACTGAGAATAAGCACATATATGGGGATATTTGTAGTTACAAATAAAAAACGTTGCTTTCACAAAAGAACAACTGATAAATAGTTATGGTGGGTATCTATTAAAATTAAAAAGTAAGTAGTTTTATTGTGTGAGCCTATATTTTTTTCTTTTGTAAAGGCTCTTATGTATTGAAAATCTAAGTCATGTTCTTGAATCTAGATTTGGAATAAAATAATTTTCTTATTCACATAGAATGGTAGATAGAATTGCCAAAGGTGGGCTTTCAGTTATAACATAAACATCACTCTTGAACAATAGCTTTATCCTCTTTTTATTTACTGCCTTTTGAAAAACCAAATTTGGTTTTTAATTTGTTTATCCAAAATGGTGACTTCTGAATCAGTTGGAATGAAAGCGAACCAAAGTAATCCCCAACAGCATGAGAAGCGAAATTACTGATGCTAGGCTTTACCTCAGCTGGCTTGCCAACACCAACTACAATCAATTTGCCATCTTCTAAACCTACAAGAATATGGCTGTTTTCTTTGGTTACACAAACACAATGGATAGGCAATCGCATGGCTAACGGGTTGATGCTGAGAGTCAAGCTAAAAGAGAAAGAAAAAAAAAGACATAATTACATGGTTTTATACTGAATTCACAGAATTTTATATCTAGAAAATAATACTCATCTGGTTCTGCATTCTAATTTTACAGATGTGGGAACTTGGGTCCAGAAAGTCAGATGCACACAAGGGCCTGTACTTACAGAATTACTTAAAATACTTGATAAATAGATCTTTTCTCTATTTTTGACATCTATTTTTCTTCTAACCATAGATAATCAAACAAAATATTAATAAAGCAACCATGAACCTAAAATATAAGAATATTACCTTGACTTTCTAGAGAAGCTTACTCTTTTTTCAATTTTCCAACCCATTCTATTATTCTGCATTTCTTACATCTTATTACATTCACCATTTATCTAAGGTAAATAGTGTTTACACTCCCTTTAGAGAGATTAGAGGGAAGGTGAGAGACAAAGTAAGGAACACAACTATTACATAGTTTTCTACATGGATACTAACTAGATTCTTATCCTTAGTGCTTATCCTAAAACAGGTAGAAATAAGGTTCCTGTACCAGTCACCGTTCTCTGAGCCTCAGACTCTTAGTGGGCATTTGTTCTAGCCTTGCTCTGACCTTATCCCTGAAATGCAGCACAGTACACACCATGTTCATTGCTGTTCCTGCGTCTTTGTGCTTTATTTCCCCACGTCTTGCCTACTTCCATCTCCAAAAAAAGTCCCCCCTGTCTTTTCATCTGCATTTCAATTCCTACTAATCCTTCATCAAGACTCCTTTGATTACTCAGATCCACACTAATCCTTAATGTCTTTAAAATTCTTCTTGCACATGTAACTGGGACCATATAATTTAGCTCTTAAACCATTCACAACAGTACATAAATACTGTTATTTCTCCAACTTTTTTTTTTGAGATGGAGTCTTGCTCTATCTAGGTTGTACTCCTAGGCTGGAGTACAGTGGCATAATCCGAGCTCAGCTCACTGCAACCTCCGCCTCCTGAGTTCAAGTGATTCTCCTGCCTCAGGCTCCTGAGTAGCTGCGATTACAGGTGCCCACCACCACACCTGGTTAATTTTTGTACTTTTAGTAGAACCAGAGTTCACTATGTTGGCTAGGTGTATCTTGAACTCCTGACCTCAAATGATCCACCCACCTTTGCCTCCCAAAGTGATGGGATTACAGGTGTAAGCCACCACGTCTGGCCTCCAACTAGTCTTAAACTCCTTTAAGACCATTATTATGAGTAAGCATCACAGAATTGAACACCTAGGCACTCTTATTAAATGCTTTTTGCCTTTCAATTCATAAGTGAGAGGTAAGTAAGAAGCCCAGAAATCTTGGGCCAGGCACAGTGGCTCATGCCTGTTATCCTAGCACTTTAGGAGGCTGAGGTGGTCAGATCACTTGAGGTCAGGAGTTAGAGACCAGCCTGGCCAACATGGTGAAACCCCATCTCTACTAAAAATACAAAAATTAGCTGAGCATGGTGGTGCACATCTGTATTCCCAGCTACTCAGGAGGCTGAGGCAGGAGAATTGCTTGAACCTGGAGGTAACAGGCTGCAGTGAGCTGAGATTGTGCCACTGCATTCCAGCCTGGGTGACAGAGACTTGGTCTCAAAAAACAAAAACACATATCCACTACTCCAATATCTCTCTCCTTCACTTCATTAAATGACAACAGATTCCCCCACCAATTTTATACACACACATGCATAAGTATTTTAAATATACTCTAGTTTACCACAATTAAAAAAATTCACACAATTAAAAAAAAATTTAACACAATTAAAAAAAAAACCTTAAGTTTGTAAAAATTCAAACCATCATTTGGACAAATTTCCAAATCCATAATTCAGACTTCATACTATGAACACTGTTTTCTGGCTCTACATATTTAAAGCATTTTTTTTTTTTTTTGAGACAGGGTCTTGCTCTGTTGACCAGGCTAGAACGCAGTGGTATGATCACAGCTTACTGCAGCCTTGACCTGGGCTCAAAAAATCCTCCCACCTCACCCTCCCAAGTAGCTAGGAACATAGGCACATGCCGTCACACCCAGCTAATGATAGATACAGTGAAGTTCTTCCTCAAAAAGGAAGCCAATTAAGTCAAATAAGGCATATGCATATTTTGTCTCCTTGTCCTTTAATTTCTAAAGTCGTGATCCACTTGTTTCCTGATCAGCCTAGGCACACATGTCCTAGCTTGTAGCATATACTCCTTTCCTTATTTGGACATGTTATTGCCTTCCTAGCCTTTTTGCAAGCACTTCCTCCATTCCTTTGTTCTCCATTGTGTTTACCTATTTAGGAAAGTTTTAAGCTTTAGCCAATCAGGTTTAGTTTGGATTGTGCAGTCTGGCCCCATCCAATGGAGACTGGACACAGTAGTAGAAGCCTCATGTGTTAGGGATAAAACGCCCTCCTCTCCTTTGTTCGGGGTGCTCTGGTGGTAATCAGGCTTATAGGCAGCACCCTTCTGCAGATGTAAAATTGCCTTGTTGAGAACTTTGTTTGAGTGATCATTTTCTTTGTGGCTCCCAACTTCTATTTCTAACAGCTAATTTTTAAAGTTTTTATGCCCAGTAGAGATGAGGTCTTGCTATGTGCTCAGGTTGGTCTTAAACTCCTGGGCTCAAGCATTCCTCCCTCTTTGATCTCCCAAAGTGCTGGGATTACAGGCAGGAGATACTATGCTCAGCTTGAAAAATTGCTAATTGTGGTAAAATTTGCATAATGTAAAATTTTCTACATATATATATATTTCATTTATGAGTCCAGAAATACTTTAGCTTCTCCAATTTTTTTTGTACTTGCCAAAAGAAAAATTTTTACAATAAATGATAAACCAAAAGATTAAAAATCTTAGATTCCTGATTTTCACTCCAGGCTAGAAGTACTGCCACCTTTTCTTAAGTGATACGTCCTTAATTTTTATTACTTACCTGTGGAGATCTCTTATAGACAGGAATCCTTGTAAGCTTCCTGTGACAATGTATTCTCCAATAACACATATATCTGATACTTGTTCCTTCAGAATTTGAGACCCTAGATACTTGCCATTTATAGAAAACAGATGTAGTGCATTCTTATCCTGTAAAAAATTGAGGAAAATTAAACAATCTCAAATAAAAACTGAGTTTTTATATTACTAGTTAAAACTCTGACTATAACAGAATAATTATTCGGCTTAAAATTCTGGGATAAAAATATGGCTATATTTAAAGACCAAGTATGTAGGCAATATTACTAAAGTGATTTCAAATCAGACTGCCAAGTAAATATTAAATGAGAATTCTCATTCCTCCCAAAAAAGAATTAACATCTTATTCAGCCCTCCACAAAACCCTACATTCTTAAAACAAAAGAAAAAAAAATATTTATTTATTTATTTATTTATTTGGAGACCGGGTCTTGCTCTTGTCTCCCAGGCTAGAGTGAGACAGCATGATCTCGGCTTACTTCAACGTCTACCTCCTGGGTTCAAGCAATTCTCCTGCCTCAGCCTCCCGAGTAGCTGGGATTACAGATGTGCACCACCATGCCCAGCTAATTTTTGTATTTTTGGTAGAGACGGGGTTTCACTATGTTGGCCAGACTGGTCTCAAACTCCTGACCTCAGGTGATCTACCTGCCTCAGGCATGAGCCACCAGGCCTGGCCCCCGAATATTCTTACTTAATATTGAAAAAGCTTAGGCTGAGCATGGTGGCTCATGTCTGTAATCCCAGTGCGTTGGGAGGCCAAACCAGGAGGATTGCTTGAGTCCAGGAGTTTGAGACCAGCCTAGGCAACATAGGGAGACCTCGGCTCTACCAAAAATTTTAAAAAACTAGCCAGGTGTGGTGGCACATGCTGGCAGTCCCAGTTACTGAGGGCGCTGAGGTGGGAGGATCACTTGAGCTCTAGAGTTAGAGGCCAAAGGGAGCTATAATTGCATCATTGCACACCAGCCTAAGCAATAGAATGAGATTCTATCTCAAAAAAATAAAAAATAAGGACTGGCATGGTGGCTCATGTCTGTAATCCCAGCACTTTGGGAGGCCAAGGCAGGCGGATCCCCTGAGGTCAGGAATTTAAGACCAGCCTGGCCAACATGGTGAAACCCCACCTCTACCAAATATACAAAAATTAGCTGGACATTGTGGCGTGTGCCTGTAATCCCAGCTACTCGGGAGGCTGAGGCAGAAGAATTGCCTGAACCTGGGAGGCGGAGGTTAAAATTAGCCGAGATCGCACTATTGCACTCCAGCCTGGGCAACAGAGTAAGACATACACACAATCAATCAATCAATCAACCATGATGTCACTGAAAGGAAACAAACATAAAATTGAGGGCTTGTTTATTTATACCCTGCCTTATGCAAAAGGAATTTCAGTTGGCTATCGTTTCCACTTTCCGATTAAGCTTATAAAATCTTATATAATCAGAAATTATGTTGAAATCATATATTACACAGGTCAACAGAAATCCCGAAAATAAAATACTAATGTGAGGCTACGATTGTGGAAGATGTCCATCTAATGTTATTAAACGAACTGAATGATGAATGAAAAACATCTTTAAAATGGTGTTCTATCTTTCTTCAAAAAACCTCATCTATAATGTGGGAGGGAACAATACGCTATTAGGAGTCTACCTCTATTGCATGAAAGGTCATATACCTTGAGGGTGGTCTTTTCCTCAGTGCTGGAGTAGATAACAATATGTCCTTCCCAAGATATAGCCAAATTGGGAATGGTCGGGAACGGTGAACTTTCACAAGGTGGTCGTAACGTCCTCATGTACTGACCTTTCTGAATGGTATGTATAATCACAGTTCCATCCTACACACAGAAAATTCCAGAAAATGAAAAAGACAAAGAAAAAAAAAACAGCAAAAAAGAATAAAAGTAGAATGGGCCAGATAAAGAAATGCGGAAAAGGAACTGAGAAAATGATTATTCCATCAAGAATATATGTACCTTAGGAAAAATTCCCACCTTGAAATTTCAAATCGTATTTTATTTCCTAGAATGCCCTCTTGCCTTAAATAATAAAACCAATAAAATCCCAAAATAGCATTCAGTTTTTTCTTTCTTTTGCAAAGTCCTATACAAATATGGTATAATATTTCAATATTTTTATCAATTGCTCTGAAAAACTTTTTAGTTATAAATGTTGCTAATAAATTTGTAGATAAAATAATTAGTATTTCTTAAAGGTGAAATCTTACCCTCGATCCTGACACCGCCATGTCTAGCTCAGTGCTGATGCTGACACTCAATACCTCATCGGTGTGTCCATAAAGAATCTGAAAAGGTTTAGATGCTAAGCCCACAGGAACACCTCCCTAATAATAAAAGAGAAAAGCAAAGGTAAAGGTGGCTTTGTTTCCTGTTTTTCACAAGGTTCATATTGCATTTAAATGTTCTAATCACAAACTAACATTGCAACTAGTTACAACCACTGAGTCTATTCATAGTAGTACTTATTCTTACAGTACCACTTGGATTTCTGAATTATTCTCCATCTTGAAGTTCAAAAACTTAAATTGTAGCATTGTTGACAGTCTTGGATTAATTTTTCCAAGTATGTTATTTCCCCTTTTAATCTACAGATTTATTCTTCCTTAACTTCAAATAAACTTTTTGTGTTATATCTCTGAATAACTTTAGTTTTTTGAGGCAGGGTCTCATTCTGTTGTCCAGGCTTACTGTATCCTTAACCTCCTGGACTCAACTGATCTTCCCACCTCAGCCTCCCTGAATAACTGGGACCACAGGCATGTGCCATCATGCCTGGCTAATTAAAAAAAATTTTTTTTTGTAGAGATAAGGGGTCTTGCCATGTTGCCCAGGCTGGTCTCGAACTCCTGGGCTCACGCAATTCTTCAGTTTCAGCCTCTCAAAGTGCTGCGATTATAGGCATGAGCCACCACGTCTGGCTGAATAATTTTTCCATTTATTCGGATTGCTACTTCAGGGACATAAATTACCTTTATGCTGACTGTCTTTGATTTTATAGTTATCATTCTTTCTCTAAGTTCTTTAAAGTTATCTTTTTATTGGCTTTCACTTTGATTACATCTTTTTTTTCCATGCCACTAATTTGGTTTTCAGCCACATCAAATCTCTTTCTTCTTTCTGCTTCAGGTTTATTTATGTTTGTACCTGTATTTTTTTATAGGTCTTGGCTGTAGCCTTTTAAAAAAACATTTGTGAGGCTGGGTGTGGTTGCTCACACCTGTAATCCCAGCACTTTGAAAGGCCAAGGCGGGTGGATCACAAAGTCAGGAGTTCAAGACCAGCCTGGCCAATATGGTGAAATCCCACATCTACTAAAAATACAAAAAATTAGCTGGGTGTGGTGGCGCATACCTGTAGTCCCAGCTACTCATGAGGATGAGGCAGAAGAATCACTTGAACCAGGGAGGTGGAGGTTGCAGTGAGCTGTGATCACACCACTGCATTCCAGCCTGGGCAACTGCAAGACTCCGTCTCAAATAAAAAAAAATTTGTGGGTACGCAGTAGGTATATATATTTACAGAATATGTAATGGTATTGGTTTTAATCTCAGCTTGATTCTTCTGCAACCTTCATTTACATCTTATGATGCTATTTTATAATGTCATCTTTATCTTCCATTTTATTGAACTGTTTTTCTTATGTTTTCCTAACAACACAATTGTATTGCAAAAAAATTGCTCTTTGAATTATTGTCCAGAAGATTCTTTCTTCATGTCTTTAGCATGCTTTGTCATTAGCATACAAATAGTTGTATATTATTTGTTTTATCTGAATAGTTGCTATTTGTATATGTGATTATCCTAGACAACTCTGCCCAGACATTCTACCTGTTCCATACAGTGTACATTAATTTCCCTTGACATTCTGCTACCTGTGACAAATTTGTCTTTTCCTGTGAATAACAGTCTGAGTGATTAGTGCGCTATATTTAACTTATAAAAAACTCAGGTAATTCCTACACTATGGAAGTAATTCCAGTTCTAGAGAAAGAGGAGCCCTTCTTGAATTTAGTTGGTAAAGACTGAGTATCCCCATACAAAACATGATAAAGATAGAACAAAAAGATCTATTTTACTTAAGAATAGAGAAATCGGCTGGGCGCAGTGGCTCAAGCCTTTAATCCCAGCACTTTGGGAGGCCGAGGTGGGTGGATCACCTGAGGTTGAGAGTTCAAGACCAGTCTGAGCAACATAGAGAAACCCTGTCTCTACTAAAAATACAAAATTAGCTGGGTGTGGTGGCACGCGCCTGTAATCCCAGCTACTCAGAAGGCTGAGGCAGGAGAATCACTTGAATCCAGGAGGTAGTGGTTGCAGTTAGCTGAGATTGAACCATTGTACTCCAGCCTGGGCAACAAGAGTGAAACTCCATCTCAAAGAAAGAAAGAAAGAAAGAAAGAAAGAAAGAAAGAAAGAAAGAAAGAAAGACAGACGGAAGGAAGGAAGGAAGGAAGGAAGGAAGGGAAAAAAAAAAAAAAAGAAAGAAAGAAAAAGAGTAGAGAAATTATTAAAGTACTAGCTAATAAGATACAACAGTAAAGTGTAATAACAATACAATATGCCATAAATTATGTGGGTTTATTATAAAAATTCAAGGATGGTTCAAACCTAGGAAATTTCTCAACATAATACATTATTATCAAGAAAAAGAGAAAAACCATATATAAGATAAACTGGGAAAAACAGCTGTAAAGAACATTATGGGAATATAAAATTAGAACATAGACTGTTGATTAGCTAATGGTATGGTATAAATGTTAAGCATTCTGATGTTGATAACTTCACTGGGGTTATGTATAAGATTGTCTTTATCTTAGAAAATACACACTGACGTGTTTAGGAATAAAGGAACATGGTATCTCCAACTTTCAAATGGCTAAAAAAATAAGATGCTGTAAGATGGAGATACTAAAAGTGACTGCTAAGACACATGATACAAAATATACTATATTTTGCCAATTTTTTACAAGTTTAACATTTGATTAAAACTATAAAGTTATCAAAATAAAAAAATAATAGAAGGACGCTAAATACATAAATGTGAAAAACACAACTAGTGAAACCTAACAGCAAACACTATACAATCTGAAGGCATTTTCATCAAAATTAGACAAAGGATGCTCATTATAATTTTGCCTACCTTATTGTATTAGCTAATAATGTAATGTAAGAAAATGAAATAATTAGTATATTAGAAGATAAAGCAAATCACTTTTATTTTCAGATCACATGATTGTATTACCTACCTTATTTTAAGAAAATCCAAGAAATACTAATAACCATGAGAGTTGATAAGAGGATTTGGCAAAGTAATTGGATATAAGATAATTGTACAGAAATCAGTCAAATCACTAAAGTTTTTCTTTATACTAGCAATAATCAGAAGTGAAAATGATTTTTAAAACCCCACTAAAAATAGTAATAAAAAATGATAATTATAAGTAAATATCACAAGGTATGGGATCTAAATGAAAAAGTTAGAAAGAAATTTTATCAAAGGACATAAAAAGGACCTGAAACAAACATGGAAAGACACTTTGTATTTCTGTAAATAAATAGCTTTAAAAATATGCCAATTTATTCGGAGGCCACGGTGGGCAGATCACTTGAGCACAGGTGTTCAAAACCAGCCTGGGTAACGTGGCAGAGACAATCATTTGTCTCTACTAAAAATACAAAAACTAGCCAGGTGTGGTGGTACATGCCTGGAGTCCCAGCTACTTGGGAGTCTGAGAAGCGAGGATCGCTTGAGCCTGAGAGGTCAAGGCCGCAGTGAGCCATAATTGTGCCACCGCACTCCAGCATGGATGATAGTGAGACCTTGTCTCAAACAAAACAAAACAAAACACCCCAAAACTCAACCCAAATTAACATATAAATTAAATACAATTTCAGTAAGACTAAAATGGAGTTTTTAAAAAAGAGGGTATGGTTAAAACATAAGTTCATATGTAAGAATAAATACCTACGTAAGACTAGCTGAGAAATTACATTTTAAGTGCAAATGATGAAGAGTCTAGAAAAAGATCTAATTCAGTGGGTAAAGGTGACTTACTTAATAATTTATGCTGACATAAATGGCTTCCTATTTAGAAGTAAACAAACCCTTATACGATATAGAGAAATAATTATCAATAAAGATTATAATATAAGAAATAAAACCAAAAAAATTAGAAGAAAACAAATTTTTTTGAGACAGAATCTTGCTCTTTAACCCAGGCTGGAGTGCAGTGGCAGGATCTCAGCTCACTGCAGCCTCTGCTTCCCTGGCTCAAGCAATCCTCCCTCCTCAGCCTCCCATGTATTGCAGCTAGGACTATAGGTATGTGCCACCATGCTCTGCTAGATTTTTACATGGAAGAAAATTTCTAGATACTTTTTATAAATTTGGAGTGGGAGAAAGCCTGTTAATTAAGACAATGTAGAAAACATAGAAGCTGGCTGGGCACGGTGGCTCACGCCTGTAATCCCAGAACTTTGGGAAGCTGAGGTGGGCGGATCACTGAAGGTCAGGAGTTTGAGACCAGCCTGGCCAACATGGTGAAACACCATTTCTGCCAAAAATACAAAGAAAAAAAAGATTAGCCAGGTGTGGTGGCACGCGCCTGTAATCCCAGCTACATGGGAGGCTAAGGCAGGAGAATCGCTTGAACCCAGGAGGCAGAGGTTGCAGTAAGCCGAGATCACGCCATTGCACTCCAGCCTGGGTAACAGAGTGAGACTCCATCTGAAAAAAGAAAAGAAAACAGAAGCTATTTAACAAAAATGATACTTCCTGGACCAATATTATTAGGAGAATGCAATAAGGTTGATGAAAACGATAAATCTATAATTTCTAGTAGTCCCACAAGAAAGAACGTAGAAATGTTACTATACTAATAAGACAATAAAAATAATTACTGTTTTCCTAGGAGAGGTAAAAAGGAAGAATCTTTGGAAAGCAATAGTGAATAAGTAACGAATCAGACAGTAAACCTAGGAAAAAGTGTAGTGATTTGGACAGGACAAAATGTGGATAAAAAGAATACAAAGGAGCTCAGTCACTGCCAGAAAACAATTTGATGTCTTAGCAGAAGATTTTGCTAGTATTCTCAGGGTGTATCTCTGATCTAAACCAAGAACATTTAAATATGTGACTACCTGTTGTGTTATTTGCCATATCATACATGTAGTATCTCTGGAACCAGAAATCAAATGCATTCCATAGTAATCTGTAGCCAAGCAAGTCACAATATCTGTAAGAAAAGGAATAAAATAAAATGAATGTCTCGTTTTGCTAGAATAGAACTTTAAGAGCAATTTTTGTTAATGTTCTAACTATTCCTAAAGCAGTCATACCAAAAGGGAGGAATGTAGGCATTACTGGAAAAGCATTGGGGAAGAGTGACATAGGAAAGCAGCAGTGTCAAAATCATGTTGGAGAGCTCTCTTTGAAATCACCCTTCTTTGGGGATGAGAAGTAGACATGCAGTATGGGGAATGACTACCACAATCTTAGGAGGAGGTTAGATAGTTTGAGATAGATCTCCAGTTAATTTTCATATGCTTCTTTGCTTTCTCATCCGCATTCACCTTCTACTCCCATTGGGAATTGTTATCCTATAAAATATGAGTCCTTAGAAAAACTATACATACTATACTATAAATTCACAATACAAAATATATTTTTTTAAACTATAAACAGCTGAGCTAAGTGATATCTTAGAACTGACTGGTACAGAATGGGCAGCAAACTCCATTTTCCTTTCCTGACAGGTTTATAGAAAAAAATCTACTCAATGTTTTATTCTTATATTGAAGACTGAGACACTAAGAAGTAGCAAGTTAAAACTACATTCAAGAATTTTATGACTCTCATGTTTAACTGTTAACATAGTAATAGGGCAGTTGATGTCTTATTAAATGACAGCAGATTTTGCTACCATTTTGTCTTAAAATTCTTACCTTTATCACCCATTAAAAAAAAAAACAAAACTTAGCCTAACGTTTTCCAGATACTATGAAGCTGTATTAAATATATATGGTGCTTTATTATATCCAAAATACATGAGATACTCCTATAGAAAGCATATATTTATAATCCTACATAATCACAAAGTTCACTCAGCTTCAAAGGTAAAATTTAGTGCTCTTTACAAGGAGCATGTGCTACTTTTATAGTTAAGAAAAAAAAATTGGGGGGTGTTCTTGGAAAAAAGTTAATGCTTACCCATATGCCGGATGATGTGAGAGATAATTTTGCCTTTTGTAAGTGACATCACTTGAATGCTATTATCCCAGTATCCAGCACTGAAGAGCAACTTTGCATCATGTGATACTACAAATAGCTTAGAAGTGACCTCTAGCCCAGGAGCAAAAGGACCATTCATGCTGCGCTGAGTTCTGTAAACACAAATATTAGACTTTTCCTTAAAAGATCACTTACACTCATATAAACTATTCTTTTTAAACATTTCTAAAAAAGAAATAAAAAATTAGTCCCAAATGTCCTATTTGAAATGTCTATTAATAAATGACAGACTTTCAGAAAATGTGTTATCTCACTATAATATTTTTTATAAAATAAGAATATATATAATAGTCTTAAGTGCTAAGCAAAAAAAGTTGCGATCAGTGGAAGTGTGAAAAAAAGCTTCAATCCTGGCTTTCAATGACAACTGAATACAACTGGTGATTTTGTAAATGGCAGCCTTAAAGTTTAAAGGCAAGACAGGATATGCCAGGACTAGGAATATCAGAAATAAACTTAAACCAGGGATGTACTACACAAGGTGATGCATAAGAGATAAATCAAGCAGATAAGTGGGTATCTAACAACACTTATGATGACTGTTCTCCATTCGAACCAAAGCAAGCATGCTGATTTTATCAGCTTCCAAGTGCAATACCTATGAGCTTAGCCAATCTAGATTCTGCAGAAAGACAAGTGATTGCACTTCAGCGTGTATACAGAAAATACACACACAGCAATTCTCATACTCTAGCTATAAAACTTTATTATTCAATATTCATTTGCTGAGAATATGCTTCTTACAAAACATTATAGTACTATGGGGATAAGAAAGAAAAAAAGACATTGCCCCTAATCTTAGGGAGTTGTATTCTAGTTGAGGAAGACAAAGATATGATAACAATTATATCATTATTGTTTTAAAATATATGGTATAATGTGACCCTCAAGACTGAATGTGATTTTCAAATTTTATTTTAATTTTAGTTTTTTTGAGACGGAGTCTCGATCTGTTGTCCAAGCTGTAGTGCAGTGGCGCAATCTCAAATCACTGCAACCTCTGTCTCCTGGGTTCAAGCGATTCTCCTGTCTCAGCCTCCCAAGTAGCTTGAATTACAGGTGCTAACTACAATGACTGGCTAATTTTTGTATTTTTAGTAGAGACGGGGTTTTGCCATGTTGGCCAGGCTGGTCTTGAACTCCTGACCTCGGGTGATCTACATGCCTCAGCCTCCTCAGTGCTGGGATTACAGGCATGAGCTACTGTGCCTGGTCATGAATGTGATTTAACTAGGAAAAAATATAAGCAAACAAATAGTTAGGATAACTCAGTGTAAGGGAAGCACAGCTTTAAGTTAGAACATAACTTTTAAAGATCAAAATACATAGGTTTTATTTTTAAATAAGGTAGAATGAAATTACAAGGAAGTCTATTATTCCTAATGTAATTTATTTCTATAACTGATATTATGGAAATTAAGTTTATATTTAAACCAATATAAATTCAGGATAGAACTTAAAAATAAGGGAAGGCTGGGGAGGGGAGGGTATGGAGAGGGGAAGGAAGGAAGGAAGGAAGAAGAGATAGTTTGATCTCAAAACATTACTTTCAGGGCAAGGAAGGGTGGCTGATGCCTGTAATCCCAGCACTTTGGGAGGCTGAGGTAGGCATATCATTTGAGGTCAGGAGTTTGAGACCAGTCTGGCCAACATGGTGAAACCCGAGCTCTACTTAAAAAAAAAAAAAAAAAAAAAAAAAATTAGCCAGAGAATCACTCGAGCCTGGGAGGCAGAGGTTGCAGTGAGTCGAGCTTGTGCCACTGCACTCCAGCCTGGGTGTCGGAGTGACACTCTTCTCAAAAAAACAAAAAACATTACTTTCAGAATAACATGAATCAATTAATCCAGTTGTTTTTTCCTGGCAATAAGGTACCTGGTATAGCTGTTTTGCTTTAAATATTCATTTACTTACTTTGGATTTGTCACAGTTTGATCCTTGATGAATGTAAAGTAATTAGAAATGTTTCTGTCATAAGGCAACCATCCATGGGTTCCAATAACATAATTCATACTTATTGTTATCTGGAGAAGAACATATGAAGACTCAAATTAAATGAAAGATTAAGGAAAGCAGCACAGAATAACCTGGAATAGCCAGATGCTCATATGACACTGGCATTTATCACTCAGGGAATACTGTAAGACTGTTTACTTCAAACACAAAACTCATTAAGAACATTTTAAAATAATTCAAACAGAAAAAGCTCTTTGTTTACCTTTTGTTTTTTGAGCCAGGGTTTCACTCTGGTGCTCAAGCTGGAGTACAGTGACATGATCTCGACTCACTGCAACCTTCAGGCATGTGCCACCATGCCTGGCTAATTTTTGTATTTTTTGTAGAGACATGGTTTCATCATGTTGCCCAAGCTAGTCTCCAACTCCTGGCCTCTCACCTCGGCCTCCCAAAGTGCTGGGATGACAGGCATGAGCCATCACACTTGGCCTTGTTTATCTTATTGTAAGAAGACTTGTCCAAATTTTTTTTTTTTTTTGAGATAGGGTCTTACTCTGTCACCTAGGTTGGAGTGCAGTGGGATGATCACAGCTCACTTCAACCTCCTGGGCTCAAGCAATCCTCTGACCTCAGCCTCCTGAGTAGCTGGGACCACAGGCATGCACCACCACGCCTGGTTAATTTTTTGTATTCTTGGTAGACATGGGGTTTTGCCATGTTGCCCAGACGGGCCTCGAACTTCTAAGCTCAAGCAATCCATCTACCTCAGCCTCTCAAAGTGCTGGGATTACAGGTGTGAGCCACTGTGCTCGGCCCAATTTGTCTTTCTTTAGGAAGATTATTTTTTCTCATGATTTCTCAAAGTTTATTAGCACTTACTAGCTGGCAGTTGGAAGAAATTCAGGCACCAGTCTTACCATAAAAATATAGTATATATCATTTAGAACATAAATCAGAAACAGAATTTACAATGAATTGTTAAGGTTTCCTTGTAGTGACAGTCATAGTGAGTATAAGTTCTCTTCAAAACAAAAAGCTCTTATCCTCTTGATTATAAAAGTAACAGTGACCTCCCCCACAAAGGAAATTCTGGTAATTTTAAAAAAACATAGGCACTTTGTGAGGCTCAGGTGGGAGGATCACTTGGGCTCAGGAGTTTGATACTAGCCTGGGCAACATGGCAAAACCTGATCTCTACAAATAAATACAAAAATTAGCCAACCACGGTGGTGTGTACCTGCAGTCCCAGCTACTCAGGAGGCTGAGGTGGAAGGGTCACCTGAGCCCAGGAGGTCAAGGTTACAGTGAGCTGTGATCGGCATGCCAGCCTGGGTGACAATGTTGCCCAAGCTGGTCTTGAACTCCTGACCTCATGTGATCTGCCCACCTTGGCCTCCCAAAGTGCTGGGATTATAGGCATGAGCCACTGTGCCCAGCCTATTTTTGTATATCTTTTTAGATTTTATATTTCTGAACAAACACAATATGTGTAATTCCAAAAATAGGTCAAATTCTGGATCTCTACTATTCACTGTGTTATACTCAATTTTTTATTATTTCTAAATGACAAAATTAAAATAAGACAGATCTAGGTTTGGTCTCTGTGCCAAGGTCCCAGATCCCTTATTCACTATCTGTGTGACCTTGGACAAGTTATTTCCCTGAGTTTTAACTTCTTATCTATAGAAGGGAAATAATTAATAGTGTTTATCTCACAAGATTGTTAGATGATTCAATAAAAATTCATGTTAAATACTCACTAAAGTGTCCTGCATGTACATCTTAATTCTGTATTATTTCTTATCATTATTATAGTCTCACAATAAATTTTAATACAAAATGTTATCCCCTATTTTTCTTATATAAAATTTCCTGGTTATTTTTACATATTTATTCTTCCAGATAAACTTTAGAATTACAGTAACTACATAAAATAAAAGCTGTTTAAACAGAAGTTATGTTTCTATACTTGGTCAAATTAATTCTACAAAAATTTTCTCTATTTTAAAAATGTGTCTTTTTTTTTTTTTTTTTTTTTTTTTTTTTT